GTCAAGTAGAATTCATATTTTATGTAAATGAGATAATCAGCTTTAAGTGCTTGAAACTGTTAATAATTCGCAATCGATTCACACATTAATAAAAACAAATGTGTGAAACTTAATGTTAACTATTATTGTGAAAAATTATGCTTGATTAAAAACAATTAAGTGGGTTAAAGTTTCAACTCTAGTCCAGCTCCTATAATCTTCGATGTATGCTTAAAACACCATATCAATTTGCAAGCATTCAGTTGTTATTGTTCTTATGACGCGTACAGACCGAAAGGCTAGGTCTTCCATTCTAATAAAAAAAAAAATATATATATATGGTATATGTGGTCAGAGATTTCTCCATTTGCCCGTCACATACATTTGCACCAAATCAGGGTAGAGAAATAATAATTTCAAAAAATGCAAAAAGCATTTGTCAGAAGTGGGATTCGAACCCACGCCCTCAGAGAGGACCAGAACGCTCACCAACACTTCTATGAAATGTAAGACTGTTAATCTTGAGTCTGGCGCCTTAGACCGCTCGGCCATCCTGACATGTTAAATAGATGTTGCCAGAGCGCCGTAATTAAGGGAGCAAGCAGAGTAACAGAACGAAAATGGAGTTAACGTTACTTTAATATACTCTCTCTCTCTCTCTCACAAAGCAATGAAAGCATTAAGAAAAACACGCGTTTTCGCGCCCCAACGCCGGCGTCAGCGTCGCATGTCTGGTGGCTATTTATAGACGGGAAATGTTCTCGTTCTCTTCATAGCAAGCTAAAAGCTCAAGCGTGTGTGCTTTCGGAGACGAAGTTTTTTAATTGTGGCAGACTTTTCAGGCATATTATTTGAAGAGTTAAAAATTAAAGCATACTCTAAGGAGTCCCACATAATTTGTTGAACTTTAAATTTAGTAACGTTATCTAAGCGGTGGCAGATTGTCAGAAGTCGAACAAAGTTTTGATGCAACAGTAGAATATATCATATTTCTGTAAAATGATAACTTTCTTTGTGTTGATTGTTGCTACTCGGAATGATGGTGTGCACTGACAGGAGATAGAAAGCGACCTTTAATCGTGTATTGATAATAATTTCAATTTATTAAGTGCTTCTATAAGTGAATTTCATCTCTGCATTATGCACAGTATATAACATTTCAAAGCAAAGAGCAGCACAAAAGGCTTCTTACCGAAGATACCTCCATCTATTATATGTTGCTCGATTTGCTCCACAGTTGCCGAGTTGTGGATCCTGTCCCCGCAGCCGCTTAGCAATCACATGGTAAGTACGCATATAAATCAGAAACGTTCGCCGACAAGGAGCTAGCTTTGGATGCCAGTTAGATTCCACTGGGCTCTGGAACGGCGCATGCTTTTAAATCGATGAGCATCGCAAAATTGACAATGATTTTTTAAAAATAATTTTATTACTTCATTCAGTGGGGCATTCATGCAGACAGCTCCAAGCCCAGCAATGGCAACAGAAGTCCATCAGGACTGTTGGCCGGCGTTCCCTATGATTGGATGCAGTCATGCGTAAATGTAAGCGCTGCTTCGAGCCACTCAAGAAGCACTAATTCGAATTTTGTCAGTTTGCAGCTTTGGTTTTTAATTAAATGACCAAAGTAAAATCTAATTATTTTGTGTTCCCGGCTTTATTCTAGTTTCTGTTATCAGTTAATACAAATTTGGGAGGGTTCAAGGGGTACAAGATTCAGGGCCAACGTGCATCGTACTGTTTGATGACGTAAGTGAGTTTCTTAATGGCCAGCTCGACTAGTTCGTCGTCCACCTGGTGATAGAACACTAGACGCATAAACTCCCAATTGCGTGCGCTGGCCTTGACTACGATGCCCGCTCCGTTTTTGCCGGTTACACCAGCTGCCAGCTCATCCGGCTCGATGACTGCCAGACGTTCGGCAAACTGATTGGCAGTCAACTTGGGCTGCTTAATCTGTACCAGCAGAATGTTGCTTTGCACAGTTGCCAAATCCACGGTTACATTAGGGCTCCGAAGTTGATCAATGCCTATGAATATGAGTATCAAGAGATGATAACAGAATGGTTAAGGGACTTACTTTTTGCAATGCGTAACGTGTGCTCATGGTCTTTAGCCAGCAGCGGCACCACCTGCTCTAGGGCCACTAAGCCGGCGGCTGCCAAGATGCCCACCTGCCGCATGCCACCACCCAAGGCTTTGCGAAGTCGGTGAGCTCTTCGAAGAGAAGGCAGATGAGGAGGCAAGTTTGATATGAACAGAAGCGTTCGATACTTACTCCGCTATGAAAGCCTTAGAGCCGACCAGCACGGAGCCCACCGGCGCGGACAAGCTCTTGCTCAGACAAACGGACACTGAGTCGAAGCCACGGGCGATGCGTTCAACACTAACGCCCAAAGCTGCTGCCGCATTGAACACACGGGCGCCGTCCATGTGCAGGCCGATACGAACAATGCCCAGGCCAGAATCACGTACCAATGCCACCAGCTCATCCAGATATGAAAGAGGCATCACCTTGCCACCGCAAATGTTGTGGGTGTTCTCCACAACAACTAAGGAGGTAACCGGCTCATGGCAGTCCTCATACTGGCGTATCTTGTGCCGCAACTCCTCCAAGCTAAAGGTGCCGTCCTGCTGGTTCCTTATCGTGGCTAATTGCACGCCAGCCAAATGCGCGGCACCACCTAAGTGGGATTAGAATTTAGCTGTTGCACCTGTTATTTATTGCTCTGCGTTATCCCACCTTGTTCATAGAGAAATATATGTGATAAATCTCCCACAATGGCCTCCGAGCCGCGTCGGTTGCAATGAACCATAACTGCAAGCAAAAGTTAAAGCAGTTGGGTCAATTGAAATAATGAATTAAGGGTTCTCAGTGTATTCGACTTTAATAAAGTTGCCATTCCATTAGAAATATTAGCTAGGGTGGCTCCCTCAGCTGCCCAGAAGGTTTTGCATCTCCTGCTGGTTAAGTACATAAAAATAACTGTTATGTTTATGGAAGTGCCCGTAACCTTAACGTTTATGAGCCTGATGCATGATATGGGCGTCTTTTCTAAACAGTTTTTGTTTTCTTTAAAAGTTTCAATTTCACTTTAAATGACGAGACAGAAAAAACGTATTCTTTAAGTCTATAAACATCAGCCATTACAGTAGGGGTGTGAGCCATCTTCACTTTAAGCTAATATGCATTTACGTGTCCGAGGCGGCGGGCCCCTTTATAAGGTATTCAGGTCCTAAATTGCGGACCAGTGTTATTTATGTACACGTCCAGCCACTTACCAGCTAAAAGATTTCCCATGGTGCCGCTAGGCACAAACAGGCCAGCCTCCTTGCCGAAAATTGCCGCAGTCTTCTCCTGCAGCTCAGCAACAGTGGGATCCTCGCCGTAGACATCGTCGCCCACCACAGCAGCGGCCATGCGTTCCCGCATCTCGGGCGTGGGCAGACTGACGGTGTCCGATCGCAGGTCAACAATATTTACAGACATTTTATGCTATTCCTACAAATTGCAAAATTTCTACGTGGTAGTGAACTGTTGTTGAATTGCAAATTGAGTTGCTAGAATTTGCATATGTCGTTTCTGCCAACTCGCCTTGCATTCACTATTTAAGTCAAGCTGACACTATTTGAGACAAGCTCACATGCCGGCTAAGGCGAATCTGAGCTATGCAAGGAAAATGTCAAATCAAATAGAAAATTTGCATTATCAATTTCAAATTGATAAGCGACATTCAATTAGGGCCTGCGGCTGACCTGGATGCCAGGCAAGTCAGGTCTGTGCACCTATAAATGAACACTTTCTAAAAGTACCTCATTCAGCTTATTATTGATAACATTTAGAAATCCAAGACAACAATCAATGCCCCCCATGTATCATTCGTGCTGTTGCATATGTGTATGTAAGCGTTAAGTTACTGGCAAGAGCAACACGTGTTTTATTTATACACAGCCCTACCACTTCTATGAATGACAACAGTTAAATTGTTAGACTTATTAATTGAACAGTAATAGAATTATATCACATTCGCACAACATTGGAACACCAACAACTCACAAAGAGCAGATACTTATTGCGGGAACAAAAAAAAATAGAATTGCAAAAACAGCACTTGCTACGCTCACCACTCAGAATAAACTGAACGTAACAGCTGGCAGCAATCCCCATGTGGACGCTGGGCGCCGTTCGTTTCCAGCAGAGAAAATTTCCCAAGAGAGTAGAAACGTCTGTGCTCAGCTGAGTGAGACTCGATCGATGTAAAGCACAGTGGGATCCACGGATATGTTTCGTTGCGAAAGTTCATAATATACTGAAGCCCGTGTGATTCCATATGTGTAACTGTTTGTCCAGACTGACTGATTGATAGTCCACAATAATGACATTAAAGATGACAATAATGACAATTTTAGATGGTTTTTGAAAAGTTTCACGAGGTTAAGAAATTAAGAAAATCTCTGCCGTTCTTCAACCGACATTTCTCCTCTAGCAGATGTTCAAGTTCATAATAAATCATAATAAATCACTTGCATATGAACTTTTACTTATACAAGCAATCATATGTACGTATTTATAAACTTAAGTAGGAGTAATCTTGCCAAAAGAAACGGTGCTTTTGTGATTTCGAAAAGTCATATTGCCGCGCGGAAATTTGACGTTTTAGATGGCGGAGCAATGTCGCTTTAATACGGCGAAGGTATGCATTTCATAATTTCGCCAGAAAATAAGCCAAATTCCACTCGTAGGTGCGAAAAAGTGGTGGGTCCAAGACTGGCGAAGGCCTAAATTTTGAACGGTCGACTTTACAATTTTCGAACCTCTGCAATAATAATGTTAATTACGTGTTCCAGAAAATCGGTAATGAAATTTAAGAAATTGATGAGAATAAAAATTACTTTTGTACACAACCCAAATATTCTCATCTTAATTTTACCCCAACTTATAAAGTTTTCAATTAGAAACTTAACTCAAACGTTAACAAATGCAGCGTAACAGATAATTAAATAATAAAGCAGTCGGTTACTTTCTTTGGTATTTTTTATTCAATATCTGAAATTTTCACTAAAATTTTTGCTATGTCTAACATGTTTTATTACTAGTTTAGTTTTTACTTTTCTTAATTGGCCAACAACAAACGGCGTCCTTGCAACTACATTAGGTACGATTTAAATTGTTAGATTAAAAACAAACGAAATTAACTATATTTATACTCGATAGTCATAATTAGTTGCTAACAGTAGTCGATAACTCTTGAAGGACATCTTTTCAGGCTGAAACTAATTTAATTAACTAATGAGATAAGCTATAAAACACAACATGTCCTCGCTTGCAGAATGGGGAACAGTTTTAGGCATTCAGATAAAGCTACATCTGATATCGATATCGATCGTATAGATCTTATGACTTACCAACTAAAATTCCAACAATTTTTGTTTTCGTTCTTTTCCGGTGCTGGCAATTTACCAGTTGCATAAACGTACATACATAAATATACATGTTTGTTGTTGTAAAGGTTATGAAAAAATTATAAATAAATAGTTGTTTGTTATAGTCTTTTCAAGAAGTTTCACTCTAGCGCAATGTAAGTATAATTTAGTTTTGCTCTAAGAATCAATCAAGTTCGAGTACAATGCTTCGCACTCGTATATGTGTTGTTTTGCTTTTGGCACCTACTGTGGTTGTATTCGTAGTAAGTTGAAGTACTTACTACACCATTTAGCTGCTTAGGAAGTGTGTGATTTCTTGTTCTTTTGCTATGTGCAGTGTGCTGAAGGTACATCATTTTACATCAGACCACATAACGATTCGATTCCATTCATCGGCTAACTTGGTTAAATATATACTTAACAGAATGAACCAAAAATGTACGGAACATGCAGTACATTCAATTGTTTGGTTGCTCTTAGTTGTTTGGTTTTTTTTGGTATGTGCAGACGGAGCTGCAAGGATATCGCTGGGCAGCGCGACCTTTTACAAAGGTCCCTGTCGCGATTTCAACTCTTAAATCTAGACAGTACACAAGACACGCAAACTTACAGCTAAGTTTAGACTCTAACTCTTTTTTGAGGCTTAGCGCTATGACGATACGTCCGTATCGGATGCATCAAGCTCGCCGGGTGGATTTCGCTTAATGCAGTCCCGTATGCTTTGCAGAATGATGCCAACTCGTCGATCTAGCGCCTCCAGATGGGGTTGCCAGAGCACCGGACTGACTGGATCCTCGCTCAGCGATTCGCGCATAACCTGCGATAGCGGCTTGGGCCCATTGTGGAATCTTGAAAGATGAAGCACAACAGTAGTCAATTGCTCAGTAACACATACGACTTGGATAAATCTTTGCGGTTACTCACTCTAGCAGCTTTGTGAGCGTCGTCTTTCGTATCAGGCAGCACTGCAAAACTGGCGCCAGTATTGAGAGCTCATCGTGAAACGGACGCCCAAAGCCGCGTCCATGGTCCAAGTGCAGGGGGAAGGTCTCGTTGCCATAGATTCTGTAATGTAGCAAAAGTATTGTTGTCAAATTGCGCATACGTCCCGTCTTTAGCATTGCATAATCATTATTTTCCTTCAAATGTGATTAGAGACAACCGCCAGGGATCAGCCTTAGCCCTGACGTAACGCAATCAGGTGTAACCGGCCACTGACAATGCCAATGCCATTAGCTCAAACAACGCTCCCCTGCATAACAAACACCGTGGCAGCCAGGGCACCTGTCAGCTTCGGAATGCATGCTGATACGATGCGGTTGCCGGCTGCTGTCTTGAGCAGCCGACAGATTTTGCTGCTTTTTGCAGCATGCATGCAAATAACTTTCCGAGGCATTTGCTCCTGTCGTTGAGAATGCTGTGCAGCACCCTTACCAAATATAGAACCAGCAGCAGTGAAGCGGATATAAAGCGTATACGTAACGCGTAGCCGCATTGTAGGCAAGAAGCCAACAACGGCATTTATGCGGAAATAAGCCAATCGCATTAGGTCATACGCCTAGTTCCCACTTGTGAAGCCGAGGAGCCCTCCGCCCATACTCACTTAAAGGTCTCATAATGGTGACGATCCATGTTGCCAGTGAGAAAATCAAATACAGCCATGTCCATGAGGTCAAGCAAACGTCGGCCCTCATCGTAGGGCGGTATATCGCGTACCTGTGACAAAAATGAGATGCTAAATGAAACAACAGTCGGAAAAAAAACTATGCAAGGGAATTGATGCAGGCTGGCGAAGACTTAATTAAGTCAGGAATGATTGCCAGTACAAAAGCTGGAGCAAAAGTAACAAATGAAAACATTTGCATTCCACTCAAGCTTAAATGCAAATTAAATAAAATAACCGCAGCAAGAAGAGCTGTAGACAAAGCGTAGCGGGCGCAACCGGAAGTGGAAATGAAAATGGCACACAAAATTGGGGTAAGCAAAAGGCGACCGCCATCCACCATCCGCCCTTCGCCCTCTTAGTTAGTAACCAACTGGCGAACGATTTACTTACCAGAGCACAATAATTGGCATCTGTCTCCCATTGAGCCTTCTTTCGCTTGTGATAGGAACGTCGCCAAGGATGCCGCCAGAGCTGTAGAAGAAGGCGAAATATAAAATCAATATCAATTTGAGCTGCACAGTGTAAGAATCTAAAGCTACTGAGCAGCATTAATATGCCACGAGTGTGCGTCGGGTGGGCATCAGCTAAAACATTTATTTATCATCCCCGCAATATGACAATATTATTTTTGTATTTTTGTACTTTTATTTTTTATTTCGTTTCTGCTTGATTTTCTTGGGACGCTTCTGCACTATAAGCGAAATTAAATTATTTGCCGGGCTACTAAGAAACGTAATAAAACGCTATCCAGCATTTTGCTTGGCTTCGCGACGGCTTTTATGCCGGACCTCAACGACCGCAACTTACCTTCCGTCCCTATGCATTTGGCAATGGCAAGGAGCGCGTTTTGGTGTAGCGAAGCATTTTATGTTCGTGGGAGGGGCGGTAACAACAACAATGCAGTGACCAAAAATATGTAGAAAAATTAAAAAGAAAGGTTCAGATAAAAATCATAATAATAAAATCGCTGTGCGTTCGCCGTTGCGTGGGCGTGGCATGTCTGCGTAATGACCGGAAGCCCACATGGGCCACAAAATGTAGCAGGAGGCGTAAAAGCAAATAAAAAACCAGGAAGCGCGCCAAAGTAGATGCAGCAGCAAAAAGCAAACACAAAGCCAACACGTAAAAGTAAGGTAAGTTAACGGCAACAATGCGACGACGGGGAAAGGATTGTTTGCATATAAAGCAGATCCCTCCGCCTCCGCATAAAGTGCATAAATCAAGCGAAATTAAATTCCCAAAAAAAGACAAGGGCATGCAGAAAAAGCGTTGGGGCGACCAAAAAAAAAAAAAAAAAAAAACAACACCAAAAATGTGGCAAGACGAGAATGAGGCAAGCATTTTCAGAGTTTTATTTAGTTTGCTGCATGTTAAATGCGTTAGCGAAATGCTTGAAAATTCGCATGGATGAACGTTTATGACAAGCAATTTAAATAAATTAAACTAAATTATCAAGCCAAAATTATTAGTAAGATGTTAAGCTTATAAAATATGGCGAGTGAGATGTGATATTCAATTATTAAAATAAAATCGAAATAAAGTGCATTTATTTTGTATAAAGTTTAGCCATATTTTAAGCCATTCACAGCTTAGATAAGCAGGAATACCATTTTGCCATCGTCAGCTTCTCTTTGTTTCTACACAGCAATTAACGAGGGTGCAAATCAAATTTGCAATATAATTAAAATTCTTCACTGTTGCGAAATTGTTTGTTATTTTCTTTAGACGGTTGCCTCGAGGCGACTTCAAAGAACAGTTAAAGTGAATAAAAGCCAAAAGGTTGCTGCAACAAAAACAATGGGAAAATCCCTATGCTGTTTTCTCAAGTAAAATGATCTCCTGTGCATAATTTACAGCGTTGCTTACGCTTAATCTCTGGTATACTCTTAACCATTTTCTACTTGTTAACTGCTGGAAGGCAAGCCGAAAACAAGTAGAAAAAATTAATAGAATAATTCCTTTGAGGCACAAGTGCAAAAAAAGAAATATGTATATAAATGTTTCAACTGCGGCAAATCTGTCTGCAAAATGCTGGGGGACACGGTCAAAGGGATAAAAGCTCTTCTAACCACGCAGCTGATGCAAAACATTGCTGGGGGAGCTGGGTTTAGGTTTTGCTTTAAATTTGCACTGATTTGCATTTAAAACCCGTTGCCGCTGTACCCTTTTGATGGAGTGTACTCTAGAATTTATTAACGTCTACCCGAGACGCTGCATTTATATTTAATTTTATGCTTTACGAGCCGCTGAAGAACTGATACAAATATTTTTGTTTTTAAGTAATTGAAGCGTCAGGCGGCAAAACGAATGAATGGACGGAATTGCTGACTGACCAGGCCGAGTGCTGAGGCAAATAATGGATACGAAATAGAAAAAATTATGCAAATTAAATGCGAGTTTTTAGGACCAACAATAAAGCAATGAAGTGCCTTCCAAGTAAGTAGCCAGTTAAATTTCCTCCTTATCCTTGTCCGGTGCTGCCAACATACCAAGCGAACTAAATGAACTGGTCACCATCGGAATACCAGGGTCAGAGCAGGGTTTACAAAGTTTATATTACGTAAAGCAGGCAAGAAGCTTACCTGTTGCACGTATACCTGGACTCGCATGTAAGCACATGCTTAGTAAATAATGTGATTTTATATTTAGTTTGTCCAAGCGTACGAAATTAGTAATGTAAGCGGAAGATTCTAGCGATCAGAGAATATAAAGTCTAATCTAGCATTGCGTTAGGAGTTGTTATGCATTAATCAAAAGCCACTTAGTCGGGCCTACTAAAGAGCCTACTACATGCGTCCCTTATGGGTTGACCAACATGAGACCCGAATGCGTGTATGAGTGTGTGTGCTGTTGAGTTCCGAGAGTTGTTTGTTGCTGACCTACCTTGCGATTGGAGGTCTCAAAGCTCGGCAGAAATGCGGCAAAGGAGCCCTCCAGCATGTCCGGATTGCCACAAATGGCATGCGAAGTGTCGCAATAGTACGAGCACTTGCCATGGAAGCATAAATTCAACGATGGCGAAACAAAGAATGTCTTCAATAAATTCTCGTCGGCCAGTTGATAAATTTCGGTCGTTATGTTCAGCGTGCGACCAGCGACAGGCATTGCGCGACGAAAGCCCAGAACTCTGAAACACACAAAAAAAAATTTATGCCATGAGCGCTGTGAGAAAAATAAGTGGTAAATAAACATATTTGCTGGAGTGCGTGTGCAAAGAAAACGAATGATATGCACATCGTTAGTAGACTTTGAAATACTCTACATTGTACATTGTATATATAAGAGCTTACAATACATTTTTTTTTTCAAATAAAATTTTGTCTTCAAGGCTTGAACTATTTAGAGTTTCCGTTTATCTTTAACCCACCCTAACCGCACCGTAATACCAAATTGTGCGAACTCTTCACTAAACTGTGGACTCTAAAGTGAGTGCGGAAAATCTATTTACAAGTATCTGTCAGACACGCCGCTTATGTTTGACCGGCAGAGGGGCCGACCAAGTAGATGAACTGTTTGGGTACACGAAAAATGTTCAGTGTCTGGGGAATGCCCCCGTAGTTACCAGTGAAATGCCATAATTCTGGCAGCATTCCATTATTGTCTGGCCAACAAGTTTGTACCCTGGGAGCCCTTCGAACGGAGATTTGATTATGGGTGCGTGTGGCTGCCACAACAATTTTAAAAGCTCTGTTGTCTATTTAAATCTAAAGCGATGCTGCATGACTCTGATTATGAGGGCATCAAACTATTAGCTATGCTAACATTTTCAATCCAAATCAAGAGTGCGCTTTAATTGGCTTTTAAAATAGGCACACTCGTTTCATACATTTCTTTCTTATTTAAGATCATTTATTTGCATATATCGCATCACTGTTAGGATATGTGCCCAGTCATCATAAATAATAAACAAAAATGGGTTTGCCAACAGCTCTTGGGTGTTAAATTTGAACTTCTAATCGCAAGGCAGCAGACATGGTGTAAGCGGATTTTGGTTTTATATCCTTAATTGTAAAGGGTTTTGGGCATATAACAAATGTTGATTAAAGGAGACAGCCGAAATTGCTGGTTATGTTATAAAATAATAATAAAACCTGGTCGGTGAAACATGCCTTGCTTGTGGAAAATCACAATATTCGGTTATTTTCAATTAAATTATAATAACTGCTGTCTACTGATAGAGCATTTATTCGCGCGCATATCTATACAGAGACTTACATTTAATTATTGCATTCTACTGCCAGAGACTATTTAATTTATTATTTCAATTTGCATAAATATTTTCGTTCAATGTGATAAATGCAATTAAAAATAAAATCTAAAATAAATATACGGTAATTTCGCATGCAAAAATGCGAGCGATTCGATGATTTTTATTGCATAAATTGCAACTGCATTTTTTTGCACAATTCACTGCGCTTTCAATGATATTTGTGAACGTGGCTGGGAAGAAGCCGAAAACTCACCTGTCCAAATGGAAGGCAGCAATCTCGGCATTGTGGCGCTCATAGTCTGTGAAGTAGAAATGATTGGGCAACGTTTGCTGGTCCCTCGGAAACCTGGAAAAAAAAAAACAGATGGAAAAGGCACAAAAGTTTGTATAATAATTAATTAAATTTAAAGTGTGGGCACCATATTCATTAAAGTGCATTTGCATATAGCGCGAGAAACGGCTTCTTTTACTATAGAAACGGACGGCTGGAAGGATGGATGGACGGAGATGGGCGGTTTGTTGGCGCGGTTAACTGATTGCTATATGGCTTCTTAATTACTTACACTGCGACACCGCAGCGTAATTCAAAAAACGTTTCATTTAAATTGCAAATGAAGAACATTAAAAGGACACTTTACACTTTACTTTGGCAACTGCGGCGGTTGCCGTGGCTTGGCCCGTGCAAACTGGCCAAAGACCGCGTTGAAATCTCATTAAAAATCGCGTATAAATGTTCGAGTCAAGTTACAATCCATTTTAAGCGCATTTCAGTACATTGAATTCACTGCAGCGCCCATTTGCTGGCCACAGCGATGTCAGGGTTGGTAAATTATATTTACTCAGGTCGGAAGTGCTGACAAGTAGCAATTGCAATCGATGTGAATTTTAACAATATTTTCGCTCTTTTTAACTTACGCTTAAAAATCATGTGTGTTCTCGCACTTACCGCATGGGCTTCATTAGAGCCTTGATGTCATTGGGATACTCAATAATTAGCTTCAGCTGTGTTCCGCCCTCTTTTTGGACTGTGGAAAGTGTAAGAGCAGAGAGAAAACAATTAAATTATTTCGGTAAAGCAGAAGAACGCATTCTTGAGTTTGATTGAAAGAACAGTTTGTGGCTTAAAAGGTTGCAGCTCAGCACACAATTTGCACAACGTTGCACACATGTTATGGGCCACAAGATGAAGAAGAAGGCGAATAGAAGCAACAACAACAGCAGCGGCTTTTGCTGATATGGCAATCTTTGAAATTGCATTAAGCGAAAGTGCATGCCCAAATTACACTTGGCTAAATTGCAATTAAAATGCATAAAGCCAACAAAAATATTACTTTTACGCAAAATGGTCACAGTGAAACAAAATTGCCTTGCTTTTGTCCGTCGGACTGAGCAACACAATAATAGACACATCAAAACCATATTTTTGCTGGCCGTACACATATTTATTTAAAGGCAGAAGTCTCTTGTGTGCAGAAGACAGAGGCCATAAGTACAGGAAAACCTAATCCTGTGCTGCACAAACACCATTAAAATGCTAAGCTAGAGCCATACGTACATTGTGCAATACAAGATACACTCAACTGCCGGGCAGCTCGACGTCCTACAAATTCCTTTAAACTCCAGACGAAACTTAAGGAGAACGAAGATATTCTTTTACTAGTGAAATGAAATAATCGAGGACTTTTATAAAAGAATTCAATAGATGACTGCAGTGAAAAGGTACAAATGAAATATACACATGCCCAGAATGTTGCATCAATCAGTTAATTGGCTTAAGGTTATTTCAATTTCAGCATATTCCAGTTAACGAGGCGTTTACATGATTTATTGTGGGCAACACTCAGCTCAGTCAATTTATGCAAAAGTTACTTCCTTAAAGCGTATGAGGCATCGTTGTCATTGTTGTTGCTGTTGGCACTGCGAACGCTGAATGAGTTTTGCACTTTGTCTTGTACATTTTACATTTTAATGTTGTTGCGTGCTTTTTGTGCGCATGCTGCAAAGTTTATTATTAATAAATTAGAGCCATAGTAAACTTTCAAATGAAAATAGTTTTGCCTGCCACCTTGGCGGCTCTCTATAATCCAAGTAAGTTTTGTGCCGCTCCTTCGCATAATTAAGTTAAATGTGCAACCAACCAGAGGGCAAATAAGTTTACAAAAGCAGCTCAACTTGAATGCTGGGACGGCAAGCACTCGCGTATTTATGGATTTACTATGGCTTTAAATGTAGGTTGGTGTTTGAGCAGCTCTTATGTACATGTGTAGCACTTACCCACATGCTGTATTGGCAGCCTGATCATGTCACGTAGCACTGCATCGACCAGGGTATCCTGCTCGCTGTATAGCTCCTTTTTGGTAATGCGCAATTGGAAGCGTTCCAAATTGCTGGCGTTTGCTCTGCAATGTAAGTAAGAAATAAAAGAAACTTTAGTCAGCTGTCGTTTCGCGAGCATTAAGACCGACAATCACCCAGCTTAAAAAACATAGCGGAAGCGCTTATAAGCATGCTACGAGAACGCCTTGGGACGCAATGCGAGTTTCAAGTTGCTGTAATGATTGTCACAATGATTTATCAAAGCAGCCGCCAGCCGGCAGCTGATGCAGGAAATCTTCGATATTGCACTCTTCGCTCTCTGTGTTTTTGCCATGCCAATTTGGCTTTCAAATGCAATCTCTCGCTTTGCCTGCATTGACTCGTACGCACACAAAGCACACAGCATTTTTTCGATGTAATGCTTGCATTGCCTTTGACAATTTTTCTTGAAGTGCGTTACCCGCTTTTGCCAGCAGGCGATGGCCAGTAAAAAATAAAAAAAACAGTAGTGCCACCTTTCTCCCCCGCTTGATCACTCTAAATGGTATTTTAAACTTTTCTCTTTTATACACAGCCTGTTTGGCTTTTATTGTCTTTGAACGTTAGCATTTCAACAGTTTATTTAAGCAGTTTGCTTTAGTTTACCTGACTAAGCATTAAATTCGATTGAAATTTCCAACTTAAATGCGCTCAATCTGCTTTATTGCAATTACAGTTGCATACTTTTTGGCTGCTGGCGTAACTACTGACACAACGCGCAACAAATTATCAGCCCAGAAGAAAAACTAAATAAATACCAAGAAACACAGCAAGTGACAAATTGAATTGTTGAAATGTTGCTGTTGCTGCTGGCCAAACTGTGAATCTTCCCACAGGGCCAACCACGCACAGCATGAGCAAGGGGCAGTGTCTACGGCATTGTGTGCCGTATTTATCAAGATAATGTAGTCAGCGTTCGTCTAACTCTTTTGAGGCTAGCAGCCAACTTGGCTGCACTCACGTAACTTCCATGGCCAGCGTTCTTTACATCGTTCTCCTTTTTGTCGTTGTCGTCACTGTCAACTACAATGATTGCTGTTCCTGCCTGTCTGGGCGTCTGGCCGTCTGTCTAGCTGGTTAACTGGCTGGCTTGCTGCTGTTGGCCCAGAGTCAACTTGGTGCTGGTGCTCTGACTTAAATCCTTTTCATAATTTGCTAGATGACGTCTGTGATACTTTACGCAGGCAACGCTTTAATGCTGCTTCCTGCGCTGCTGTTTGCTCCAGCTCTGGGTGGCAGGAAGGAAACAACTGTCTGAACAGCCAACCCCTGTGTGCCAAGACCGACGCAAAATGACTTTCAATATTTTAACTTTTTATGAAAATGGGGGGCAGTTTCCTGTCTACCTGGACTGCCTAGTAATGAGTGCGCTAGGTGTATGAACAGAAGTTCAAAGACTGTGAAAAATGAGCGAGCTGCATGCGCCGTTTTAAATTTTTAAAGCGTAAGCTTGTCTGCAATTAAAAGCAGATGATTTGGTTATGCCTTGGCAGCAGATGGCAATTGTCATGAAATAGCCAAGAAATTGACGAGGGTTCATGTTGAGGTCGCAGGCACAGCTGCTATGTGTGGTCGACACTTGGCACACCAGCAGGGGTTATAGTTCATTTGAGCCAGTGCAGAGCATTGCGGCTACACTGGTGACTACGAATCCAATTTCCGTGCATGTTTCATTTGTCAAATGCCCCAGAAAGCAATGGGGCAGCTGGAGAGCTGCGTAATTGATGAAGCAGCTCGTTCAGACATTGACTAATCACAAGACGCTGCCCAGCTGGCTATATGTTGAGGTTGGCGGGTTGTTCAAATATTCTGTCAATGGTTTGAAGCTTTAAGAGATATTGCGTAAATCCCTTCAACATATTCTGTACGCATTACTTGATGAAAGCCCCTTGTTATCAGTTACACGCTATCAACAACATGTGGAAGAGCATTTTGCATTGCATGTGCAACAAATATTAGTCAGATGTTACTATAACCAAGAAATATGAAAACCTGAAAGTGGCAAGTGGCCTACGCACACACACACAAACACGAATACAGACGAAAGTTTTCTGTACAAAATGTTGACAAGTCGGTGGCAATAATAGAAATAAGATGCAAAGATTTTTACATAACATGTCAACATGTTGTTAGTGGTCTCCCTGGTAACTGATTGGTATTGAGAACAGCTTTATTGATAACGATCATAACATTTCAAATAATACTATATATATTCGTTAGTTTCTTTCAAAAGAACTTGTTCATTTATAAATTTTAAACAAAGCTCACTAATCAACCTCGTTACGACAGCTAAAAGAAGAAGAATATCAACAAGATGAAAATCTTTGTTATTGTTGACTAAAGGAAAGCCAAGCAGAATGCACAAAGGGAAAATTCATTTTGATTATATTCTCGTTTATTTTCATCAACTGCAATTTCAGCTTAATTAACATAAAATAAAACTTTGTTCAACTGCTCCTATAATTCATTTTAGATATGAGTACTTACAAAGAATATGTTAAATTTCACTAAAACGCAAATATAAAGCTGTCGACTACCCCTTTCAACTTCACAAAAAAAAACTATTTAACTGAAAAGTAAAATATTAGAATTTAAGGTTTTTTTTTTGTATTTATAAAAAATTTAACTTTAATCAAACCTTGCGGTTGGCCAAATCTGTCCAAGGGCCTAGCTCTCAGTTGAATTAGTTGTCCTTACCCTTGACTTATTTTATTTGTTGCAATAACTGCTATCAGCCGGCATGTTGCGGGTGTGTCCCAAGACGTTCGCTGTAACTTTACCTCCGCCCCATAATTATTTCAGCATAAGAAAATGTCGGTAAACTTTGCCATCTCCGATTCCGTTTACAGCTGCACCAGGGCACAACCACTTCCAGATCTTGGCCGAGTGCTTAGAAAGTGAAAAACTTTGTGCGTGCGAAATTGTGGCAAGCAGACAACCAGCGAATAGCCCAACAACGCAACCGCGGCCAAGATTCTAGCGGCGACAGCCGACGGCCGACAGGCGGACACTTTGAACTGAGTTGCAAAAACAACGCAAACAAAGCGAAAATTAAACTTATATTGTTGCGTTTGCCAGGCAACAAGGATAAACTTCAGCCGCGGCAGAGCGCGAACATTAAAAGCAGTGACAGCGAGCCAGCTGCTGCTACGACGGCAACTGAATAAGGAATATCCATGCTAGCTGGCAAAATGTCAGCGTACTTTAGTTTAACACACTCGCCGACATTGAGCATAGTCTTTTATTAGGACGCGTCTGTGGCAACCGCAATGCCATCCGCATTCAGATGCGGGCCGGGCCAACAGCTGCTTAACTTGCAGTTGGTTAGTGAGTTTTTCCTTTTTTTTTTTTCTCTTGTTATTCGGCTGTAATTCGTTTGAAATAAGATTACTGTCCCAGCTCAACGTGGTCGCAATTGCGGGCTAATTAAAAATTTGTCATACTAATTAAATGCACTCCAAGAGAAGACGTGACGGGATAACGGCAGGGCGGCAGCAAGACCCTGCGGCTTATGGTAAATCAGTGGCAGCTGCAACATTTGATCATCAAAACGTGAAAAATGTAATTATGTTTTAGCCAATAAAGAGCGCGGCTTATGCTAGTTAGCTACCCAGCTACCATAATGCTCGTCATATATCATATAGAAATATTTAGGCAGATTTGCATTTTCTGTAAGCTGCATTTTCTACCAAAGCCACCTGAGCGTCGTTGCATGCTTGAAAAAACCGTCACAAAACTGCTGACAAAGCTGCCACAGCCCGCGCCCTGACAAAAAAGAGACAAGGCAAGAGGCGGCCTAAGCCACATGAGCTTGGCACGCGTCTACTGTCGTAGCTAACAATGCTAACCCGCGAAACGGAATTTTAATGAGATATTACTGACGAAAGCTGTAACAGCAGAGCCAGAGCATAGATCAAATTGCGACTATGTTCTGCACTATATTTAAAACAAAGTGATTTTGCTAACAAAATGTATGTAACTTAGAAGAGAATAAATTATGTCAGTTAAAGCATTTTCAGCTTATATTAAGCACTTAAGTATATACATACGTATTCGTTGATGTGTCTGATGATATTTGAGCTATACACAGAGTATCTAAAAGTGTAGCAAGTATAGCTAGAGCCTTCCTGTTTTTTTTTTGCACGTTTACTGTAAGCAATTTTGCTTGTTAATGAAATTTGCATTTGAGCTACGTGCAGCGCAAAAAACATTTGACTCTGTTTCGGTGATGTGCGATAAATTAGAAAATCAAGAATTTTATGCTAATGCCAACACCCACAGACCGCAACAAAACGCCAGCGCTAAGAATAACATACTTTTAGCTTGACAAGTTTTCACCACTTTACGTTTTTCTCAATTTACTTTTATTTTTTCTACTTTTCTTGTGCGCCAGCTATTCGAGCAAATGAAATTACTCATACGCCACGTTTTCAATTTTTATAAAGACTGCTAGACTGACTCGAAGCAGCGACGGCGACGAAGCAGCTGCACGACTTTTCGTGAACGGAACGGAAGAAGGTAAAACCTAAGCTGATTACTGTGCAAGGAAATCAAATGAATTTGCAGTGAAGAAAAATCCAGTGCTACATTAAATGAGAGGAGGGGCAGCTGCGGTACCCAATCCGCATTGATTTCTTTATTGCAATTTTATTTGATTGCGCTCATATAAAATTACGTATACGCAATGTTGAGACGAGTACTGTAACATAGAGCTAAAATCTCATCAGACCTATCAGCGAGTGGCAGCACGCATGCAATCGTTGTCAACATTTACAACAACAACAACAACATAAGCGGATACGTCAACCGCAGCATCAACAATCCGCCAACACTTATGAGGATGGAGCAGGGGCAACCGGAAGCGGAAACGTTAACGTTAGAGCAAGCATCTAAAACGTAAATGTGTCACGTAAATGGAGCGTAAATTTCAATAAAAATCATTTCAATTCTACCAAAGCCAAAAGGAACCGTAACTGCTTCAATCGTACGCCACACGGGCAGGCTGAAAATGTACGTAGTCTTGGTGGGTGGCTTGGGTGGCTGCTATCTCCACAATTACAGCAGTCGGCCCACGTGCCTGGCAGATGTAAGTGAAACCGTAATCTGGCAATGCAAACCAAAGTACGAAGGTACGCAAGAAGGTAAAACACTAAGCATTATGCCTTCCGCTTAAGGGAAATTGAATTTTTCGTCCAGCTTCCGCTCGTCTGCCATTAACAATAGCACTTAACTACTCAATATCACTCACCCAACTTGGCGATGCAGCATCTCTGCCAGCGTGGGGTTGTTAACCGTCACATCTGGCGCATTATCAACTATGACATGAACGTACTCGTCAGATACCAGCAGCTTCTGTAGATCCACATACCGATCGTGTGGCGTTACCTTTCGCGTGGTGAGCGTAGAACCAGCGACTACCGTCTCCTGGCCACTAGTTGTGCCGCCACTTTGACTGCCCGAGGGTTGAGCCTGAGTTGATGCCTCCTTGGAGCCTGAAGAGTTGCTGTAAGAAAGTGCGTTTAAAAAAGGCAATAATTATTTTGAATTCCAGGCACACTTTTATAATGGGCCTAGTCAGTTACTGCAAATTCCAAGTACCTGTGGCGCTCAACCAATGCACTGTGCACACAACCGACTGGCACAAGTTGCCCGTTGAAGGATTTGCTCACAAGGTCGAGCTATGTTTAAGTTACATTTAATCGTAGGCCTATGCTCTACACACAAACACACACGCGCACATTAAACTTGACTGCTGTGACCAGGATTACGGGCTGAGAGGCCTTTTGCTATATGGCCCAGCTTAAATTGTGTAAACAGTGAACGACACTAGAAAAGTATTAATAAAATGTAAACATATATATGTATGGTCCACACATCTATTAGTCCTAGCTCAGTCCTAGCTATTTTCTAATAAGACTGGGCCATTTAAGCTACATCTCATAGACATTTCACTTAACTCATCTCAGTTGCTGGTGTTGTTTGGCTTACTTTGAACTTGGAGCAGATGGCAGTCAGGTTCTTGCAGCTGCTTGTTATCATAATATTCGGCAGTTGCTCGTGTGCTTCTCGTAATTGGAGTGCTGCTCGCTTTGGTCATTAAAATAAATTTCAAATATGCCTACGACAAGTTGGTAAAATGCAAAAGACGGATGTTGCATCATTAAACGAAGGGTTTACGCGCTGAGAGTTGGCTCAAATCAAGTCCTGCAAATTGCTTCAACTCAGCCGCAAAACTTTGTGCATTGTCGCTTGAATTTTTAAGTGCGTAACAATTTCAGGTTATTTTTTACAACCTCACCATCTTTATGCCCATATTATATGTCTCTGTTCTGGGCTTGTCTCTGGGCGTCAGTCAAAAGGTGCGTAACAGGGGCAGCGGCGGGCAAAGTGCGAAACTTTTTCAATTAACAGTTGCTGGCAAGCTTAAACTTTACAGCCGCTTCAGACCGTCGGATCCTTTTGCTCACTGTCTTTGTCATTGCCGAAGGGCCCATAATGCACACCTCTTAACGAGGCTCAGCAGATTTTACGCTTTTAATGCTGTTGTACACTGAAGGATGCGACGTAATGACATTATGTGTGACAATGAGCTTACTTTGTTGCACGTATACAGTTTACCAACAGTTAGGAATGCAAAAGTACTTAGGCTCCATTTAAATAGATTTATGCAATACACCACATTGATTTTCCGGCCAAACACACATTATGTGATTGTGGCTAACAAGCCACGTGTCAGGTAAGTCAATCGCATTATTTAGCATCAGCTATGTAACGCAACATGACAATATGGCAACACGGCAGCATAGATCGATGCTCGATGTGGCCTGCACTTAATTAAACCAACGACAAATTTCCTCATTAAAGTGTCACGTGTGATGCGTAGAGCAGGTGACCTCTGCATTATCTTCACTTAGGTATGTAACGTAACGTGGTTAATTTAACAGTTTAGATATTGCATATATCACTGGCTCATTCTGGATAGTGTGAAGTACAGCTGACTGCGCTGCCAGACTGGTTAATATAAACTTTTGTTTATAAACAGATCCCTGCACAGACAAAAATTTCGTCAGCACATAGCAAAATCGATAAGAGTATCATGTGGCGTTAATGCTTACGATCCGAATTATCGCTTTAATTCTATCAGAGTCTTGGGAAAAATAAACAACAGGATGTGATTCGGCGTGTTCGTTTGCTCTGCAGGTCAATGATCGATTCGAATTATGGCTCGTAAAAAAATTCTTGCGCGCATTTGCTGATAACGAAACATTTTAATAGCTTCACATTAGGTTGATTGAATTTCTATTTCTATATAAATTACAAAATTGCTGCTGTCCCTTCTTGGGTCGCCCAATTGGAGTCAGACTCTCATTTGACCTTATAAATAATTGTCCAAATCTCAAGCGGAGAGCGCAAAAAAAACGTTCAAAAAATTAAACTTATTTAAATGTGTATCGTATCAACTTCACTCCGCACCACATGAAATTATTAATGCATAAACATCATTTTCCATTTATCATAACACTAATTATTTGATATATTGAGGGTAAGAGCCAAAGGAAACATGATCAAGATTTGGCAGACTGAGCAAAAATTACTTATTTATTAATTGAATGTTGACTGGCTTAACATTGGCGTATTAGATTTCCATGCAGAGGGTCCCTATGCTATCCCCACAATCGGGCCGATGTAGAAGTACAAATTGAATTTAATATGTGTATTTATTAAAGCTATTTCTCTCGCTTAAAGAGAGAATCAGACCTTGTACTCTATGCATACAGCCCGTAACTTTATTCAAGGCTTTTATATAATATTCAAAATTGTTTGGGGGCAGAACAGATTATATGTAAGATTGCAGCTAACCAGCAACGTGGCAGGATTGTCAATGCCATTGATGCGCGAAGTTGCGTGCATTTAATTAAACTAATGACAGAGATTCCTTATTAAGGTGTCACGTGTCGTGCGTGACACAGGTGACGTCTGATTTATGATCTCTCAAGCAGTTAAGCAAATTTGCAAGGCTGCAAGGTAGATAGGAACGTGTCAACTTCAGCTGGCTAAGGTCCCAGATTGGTGACTATATAAGCTACTGTTCGGACAAAGAGCTCATCAAAGTGTGCAATGTCGTCGCGACCAAGTGAAATATTTCGCAACATTATGCGCTTTGTGCGATTTATATCGGGCTGCATTGGTGTCGATGCCTACGATCCGAGTTATCGGTTTAATACTATCACAGCCTTTACAACGGGCTCGATCATCATGTACATGTGCTTTACGATCGTAACAGTGTTCAAGGAATTTAAAGAGAACTGGATGTTCTTGATACAGGCATTTGCTACGACCGGCAGCGTGGTGCAAGGCATCAACAAGTTATGTGTTGGAATCCTTTCTGCCCGCACAGTATCAGAGCTCTACCTACAAATAGAGAACATATATTTGGACTTCGAAAAGAACCATGATCCCAGATATCCAAAAGCACTCTTACACAACTGTAGGAAGCTGAGACGCGTTCTCTTATTGGTTGGCGTCAGCTACGTGATTGGCGTCTGCGGAATCATCCTCACAACGGTTGTGGCATCCATTGTAACTGGCCAAACCTATTTAAGTATGCACTTTCATCTACCCGGCTTAGATGTGAATACCAAATTGGGTGGCTGGATGACACAAGCAGTGCATTGCATATGCGTTGTCATTGGTGGAACTGGGCTGTATGCAGGAGACATGGTTATCATAGTCTATCTGCTGCAATCGTTTGTCTATGCAGATTTTTTGAAATTCAAGGTGGATGCGTTAAATACGCATGTCAACATAATACAAAACGATAAGCTACAATGTCAGACCTCCGAAATGCTTGTTGATATTGCAAGGTGGCACCAGATCTTTACAACGTGAGTAAAAACGGACCGAAGTTCAGACGCAATGAGTAACCTCTGCCTTTATAGATTCATAGCCAAGTGCAACGACATGTTTTTTATATTGGTATCCGTTCAGGTTGCATCCTCTGCCTTGTGCATTGTCATAACAATCTTTGCGTTGCTTACTAGCGAGTGGTTAGGGGGCTACTGCTATCTATGTATTCTCGTTTCCAATTTGTATCTCTACTGCGTACTTGGCACAATGCTCGAGAGCTGCGTATGTTGCAGATCAACCAAAGTTAAATGTCTGAAATTAATTATAATTAATCTATCCCCTTAAGAATGATAACGTTATGTACGAGATGTACAACATATCGTTCTACGATCTAAGCGCTGAACACCAGCGCTTCGTGCTGTTTATGCTAGTCAAAAGCCAACAACCGGGTGTGATTCGACTCCTTGGAGTGATGCCGCTGTCTGTGAGCTCTGCTCTGCAGGTCAGTGAGTTTTGCAAATTATGCCACTTAATAATAATATTTCCTATATTTACAGATAACTAAGAGCATTTATAGCATTACTATGATGATGGTTAAATTTATATATAAATAGATCATAATTCAAACATCAAGTCAGACGAAGCAATAGCAGATATTTGATGCTTACATAGAATTTTAACGCTTTAATTGCACGCTGAACCGCATGGAAGAGAAGAAAATATGAAAACCCTTTTAGAGGCAGCACCAATCGGCTTATGAATTAATTAAATATTTACCAACTACAAATTCGCGTTTTATATTTCCGTACAAGCTGGCGGATGCCGCAATGTAGCTGCAGTCGCTGCACCTGGGAGCTTATGGGATGAATTTCTAGGTAACAGGTTGCTTGGCTCAGACGGTAGCGTGTCTTGCCTGTCTTGGCAGCATGTCTTGTGTTTAGCTGCGTCATTTTTGTGTTTTATTACATGACTTCCGCCAGCCGCAGCATAAAACTGGCGGCCCTCTAAAACACACGCATACACACACGACAAAAGGGAGCAGCATGTCGATGGCAGCGCAAAAGCGCAATTGCGAGTTTGCCAATTGGCCCGTTTCGGGGTGTGCGAATGTGTGTGTGTGTGTGTGTGTATGTGTATGCAGAGGTATGGGGAGCATTAAAAGCTGCACGCAGTGGTTCAGATGTCTGTTACGGCCGTTGTTGTTCCTATAACATGGAGTCGTAGTTTCCAGGAACGTTAGTCCTGACCGTGCGCTGTCTTAAGTTCCAGCACCCGCTGGCTTTTGCAGCCTGCTTGTAGAAAACTACGTTTTAATGCCAGGCCAGCCATGTTTTATTGCAACTTTTGTTGCATTTGAAAAATTAAATTATATATAATAGAGGACCAGCGGCGGTAACGAGCTATTACGCGGGACCAATGTCCGGATAGTAACTATTATTTATCTGTTAGCGCATACACTGAACATTAATCAGCAGACCTTTTTCTAAATTATTAATAGGCATTAGTACGTAGGTTTTAGTTCTTAAGAATTCTTGTGATATATGCACCATAATTTAAAATAACTATCAGTACTACACTCCACGTATATAAAAAAAAACACTCCGTTCTCTCAGCATGGTTGCAAGCCCAAAAGAAATCGTTTATAGTTTGGTAGAGGATTTGAACAAACTTCCTGCTTTTGGGCTACGTTCGTGAACGCAGTAAACTTTACTTCACGGTTAAATTAATAAATAAAAAATAAAGCAAAATAATAAAAATATAGCCTTGATCCTCAGTTAAGTTCACTGACACTTTAAAAACTAACTGTACCGAAATGCAACAAAATTCTAAGTCGTTTCTTACCTCTTTTGCAAGAACTTTCGTTTAAACTCGTGCAGCATACCTCCGCCTCCGGCCGAGCCAACTTCGTTGTAATCATTGTTATTGCCAAAGCGCAGCTTTTGATGCTGTTGCTGCAGCAGATGGCGGTTTGCAACCCCAAAGTCCATTTGCACATCCACAATGAGCAGCAGCGTGAGCAGCACGAGCGTCGCTCCCAGGCTAATAGCCAGGCGCTCTTTAAGCTTCATGGTACGCAGGACGGCCATAATGGGCGAAGGAGAAGCACTCCTATTGCTGTTGTTGCTATTTAATTGACGTGGAGCAAAAGCCGTGGCTGTGGCGCCCTCTGGCTTGCTGTTGGACTGGGTGGCACAAAAATTGCGCAGCCTTGAAAGCCAGTCGAGATGACAATCCTGTTTCTGCTCTGGCTTGGCTGCCTGCATGTGCGGGGAGCCGGACGTTGGCGATGCTGCAGCGTCGCGGGCGCGTGTCGAGCGCACAATGCGCCGCTTGATGAGCACACGTCGTCGTGGCGCTGCCTCCTTATTGCCACTCTCGCTATGCTGGATCCCAAATTGTGAAGCTGCCTCCTCTAAAGCGTCAGTTGAGCAGCGCTCGGTGGCATCAACTGCAGCGCTGGCGTTGGCGTTGGAGCGTCGAACGGCAGTTTTGCAGTGGCTGCTGTTGTTGCTGTTCTCGCTATGCTCATGCAAATTGGAAACGCCTATTTGTTCAGCTGATAAATCGTTATCGTTGATATCAGCGCTATTGTAACGCTGCTGTCGCTGCCGAAACCGCTGCAAGCGCTCCGCTAGGGGCGCAAACTGCGCACAGCTGCAAAGAGAGGAGAAACTTTCGTTAGCATGGTAGATACATATGTATGGGAGATCGTCGAATCTTAAACGAGTCGAATGTTGTGTGAAATGCAATCAAACGCACTACTGAAGATCAAGGTTGAACAATCTACAAGAACAATCATTCAAAGGTTCAAGATAATATGAAGTAAGAGGGCCCGACAAGGAAACGCCTTTCCAACCTTCTATATTTTTTCAATATATATCTTTATAAGCAAAGCACCCAAAGAGCGCAGAACTTTTTTTAGTCATAATTATGGCATTTATAAATGCAAATTTGTGTATATACTAAGATCCAGAGCTGAACCATTCAAAATGTTTTTCTTTGGGGACGGTGGAAGGTATCCAAAAATAGAAACATTTTCGATCTGTGTATACTGTAAGAAAACAGAATTTATCAGCAAATAAGCTTCATATACCGGCCAATATACGGACATTCGTTCAAAATTTCTTGTCTGAAGCCTCCGCGATAGTCGCCGAAATCATTAAGATCCGGATTAAGCAAAGAACTCTGATAAGTGCTAAATGTGATTACTTGGTTAGAAGGGCTAAGGATGTCACTCACTTTGAGGGTAACATAGCTGAAGGACACTTTTTTCCTGCCTTGTAAGCGCCATGGCAAAATTATAAAGCTTCCATTGTTGTGGGTATAACAACGAGAACGAGTGTCAAAAATATGAACAGGCGACCACCGTAGAAGTTGTTTTTTATTATTTGTGCAGAAAGCGGCGTCACGACCATCCGCCATGTTGACTGCTGCCGGAAATGCGGCAGAGTCCATTTTTTGTGCCGCCAACTTTGCCGTCGTAGTTGTTGTTTTGTGCTGTCTGCCTTTTTTTGTTGTTTGCATGAAGCATATTTTTTTCCATGCGCTGTTGTTTTGCATTGCTTGTTAGAGGGTGTGTGTGTCTGTGCGGTTGCCAGACAATAAGAATTTGAACTATAACTACAACATGCTCGAAAGGGGTTTCAGTATCTATGTTTGTTGTTTTTGCTGTTGATAGGCAGGTCAAAGTTAACGAAGCTTGTTGCTTGCCCACAAGAAGAGCCAACATTCGTTGTCTAAGCTACTCCGATAACAATATTGTTGCCATGTTTGTGGCCGCTTCAGCATCTAAATGCAGCTCACTAAAAGGTACGATAACAGCTACGTGCATGTGTAAATTGAAGACACATGACATATTTACTGGCATTTTCAGATTGCATGAAAAATAACGTTACGGCCCGCATGCTACTGACATGACATAACTAAGCTGGCAGAAATAGTCGCTAGCTTAATAGAAATTTAGAAACGAGCCATAAGCCATATTCCATATGCCATATGCAAAAATTGCTGATTGGAGCAGTGCCTGACAGATAACACGACAAAGGTGCCGTCAGATTGTAAAATGCCCCAACTGAACTTTGGGACGGGCCACAGCTAGGCACCATGTCAATCAAATCAAATATCGTGCCAATTGCCGATGTTGCCTATCAAAGTTGCATATCATGGCGCGACGATTTGACAGCTAGATCCAGACAGAAGCATATAACTGGGTGCAGACGCTGATAGTGGACGCGACCAGGGGCCACAGGCAGACGCTTTAGCATGAGTAGATATCTGAGATATGCCTGCAACAATCAAATCAATTGCAGACATCGACGCTGCTAGTTGAATGGGCGCCCGGCAATGGCAGTCAAATCCAGACAGGAACAGCAGCAACGTGACCTGAACAAATTCTGTGGAATAGCATAGACGAGTTCATAGACTCCAAGAGAACGGGTAGTCGATACTGCGTACATTTATCGTATGACAACGACTGTAACAAACGGGTGATAAGCGACAGCAGCAGCAACAACAACAACAACAAAAACAAAGCGACCTACAAGTGCAAAGTTTGAGTGGGGAAAGGGGTTTAAGGCGCGTTAATAGAAATTGTTATAGCCGCATGTTGTTGTCGACAACGTTGCCGTTTCTGTTGCTGCTTAATAAAGTTGCTGCGTTGCATTAAATTAAACTGATGCGGTATATTATTGATGGAACGATGGGGCTAGGGAATGTTGACTACAGCTAAGACTGGCAACAGCGTTGCTTTAATGCAATTGCCGACAATGCAAAAGCAACCGCGACAACAACAACAACAACAACAACAACAACCACATCAACTAGAGTGAGTGACAGCAATTTCCCTTCCAATTTGAGCTCTGTTTTCATTAATCAGATGAAAGAGAAAACAACAAAAGCGTATCAACAGAGTTAAGGGCAGGAGAGTTCAATGTATGCAGTACGTGCAAAAGAGCCCATACTCATATTGATAAGAGCAGCACTTGGCCAAAACAAGCGGCACATTTATTATCAATCAATTAAAGTCAGAGTACTTCAATTGAATATCTTATCGCTAATTACGAGTAGTGGTAAAGTGGAGTATAGACAGGTATAGCCTAGTTGATAACCCATGAATACCTTTTGCTAAACCGTAGACTATTATCTTTAATGTACTTTTCTGTAGTAATCTGGCTGACACAAGTTGCCCTCATTATCGACCCCATTGTATAAATCAAACTCACTTTCAATCAAATGACAAATTGCTTTCCGCTACCTTTCTCCTGCTCAATTAGCTTCAGTCAGTGAACTTGCCAGCGTCGACAACAAGATTATGCATTTTCCCCCAATCGAATCAGTGCAGCTGCCCCCTGCCCCCCTGCAGCCTCTCATCCATGCCAGCAGCTACGCATGATTGATTTTCGGAAACTATTTCCCATAGCCCAGTTGCACCACATAGGGTGATCACAATGCTGTGCAATTTTGCTGTAAGTGCGAGTAAGCGCGTAACCCGCACAAACTTGACGCGTTGGCAAACTCAGCAAACTTAAATCAAATCAGTGGCGATTGTGCAACAACAACTGCTAAAAATGACACGCTTAATGCGTTCAGTGGCACGCCGCCCTCTCGTGCCACACCACCGGCTACAGCTGTTTGTTGTTTGCCACGCATCAATGAGGTTAAAGAATGTTCGGCATTGTGCTGCTGCCGACATGCCAAACAACATCGAGAATGGCTGGCAAAAGACTTATCGATTTTATGGGATTGTTGTCAGCGGTTGCACTTGAGCTGCTTGCGACAACAGCAAAAACAAAAAAACTTACAAAAATAACAACACAACCACTGCAAATTTGCTTTATCGACCAATCGAGCGAGCCAATCAAACGAACTGCAATCCGATATGCAAATCACTGACAAACTGTTGCAGTTGCAGTTCGCTTGCCAGAGGGTGTCAAGGTTATTTTTTACAGTTCTCACTTGACTAATTTGGCTCATTTTGTGAGGGCTTGCCCCATCTACTTACGTCTACAAATGATAGTGGCAGCGCAAAACTTAAACGAACTGCTAAACTAAGCCAAATTGATGCCAACATTAAGAAAACTTGTATAACAAATGCCTTAAACTTTTCCTAGACATCCCAATCGCATAACTTTGTCAAAACAAACACAATTTAACTCGAAAGTCTATTCTAGCCATGGTAAGCCCAAATTGTATTTGTTATTCTAATTCCATTTATTCAAAACATTGTTTTTATGGATTAGTTTATTAATGATACGTTTTAATTTTTAGCCATTAACGTGCATAAAAATTAGTACGAGAACCATTTTTGTCATGAATCATTTGCCTTCTAGATTGAATTTGTAATTTAATTTGATTAACCATGGTTTTCGATTGCATATAATTAAATATGTTGTCTACAAAATTGATTTAAATTAAAAGGAACTCAGCTCAGATTTATTTTGCCATTCATTTTTTTTCTTGGCGATTTGCCTTTGTGCTGCGTCAATTTACCTTTCGCTTTGCAAACTTTGATGTTGGTCCTGCGGACTCTCTACCAGCTCATCAGCCTTATCTTCATCGTAATCGTAAGCAGGAGCTGCAGCAGCAGTGCCAGTAGAATAAATGTCACGGTGTTTGTCCGCCTTACTAACATTCAACGGCAGGGACTCCTGCAGTAGTCTCAGGTGATTCAGTGGCTGCGATTTCTCCGTTGCTTTGCCCCAGGTCATTTCATTACCAAAGTCAACATTGTTGTTGTCCCAGATTCCAGGCAGCTTAAGCTGCAGGGCTTGCTGTTCCTTCTGCTGTTTTTCCATGATGCTGTTAATAAAATTTTCTGGCTGGCTCATTGCTTGCCAGTTCTTTCGATCCTGCCAGGCCAAGGAAGGACGACGAGAGGAGGCTCCAACTGGTTGCTGCTGCTCCTCCAGCTGTTCTGTAGCCAATTGAATGGCGCTCTGATGCCAGCCATTGTTTTCCTTGTTAGCCAAGTCACCCAGTACATAGCTTGAGTCAGTATAGTCCTCGTCGCTGTTGTAGTCATCATAGGCATGGTACTGGTGGCTTTGGCCCCCCCTTGAATTGTTGTTAACCCCATTATATTGTTTTATTGCTGATTGATTCTTTGCCATTGCTTTTTGATTTATGCCTGAACTATCGCTGCCTCGGACTATGCTCCGCTGGTAATCACCATTGTTCTTATTATTCCCATTGTAGCCGGCTATTTGTCCCATGGATCGTCGCAACGTTTGACTGCTGTGGGACAGGCCTTGTTCCAACTGCTGAGCTTGGGTACCCACTTGCGCCTGAAGCTCCTTTGACTCCAACCGATCCCGTTCCAGGCATACACTACTTTGGCTGCGCTGTCGTGCTGCCTTTCGCTTGGCCAGCGCCGCCGGGGTAGGCGCAAACAGATTCCGTATGTTTGCATTGCGTTGGGTGGCGCAAAATTGGCCGTTGCCCGCGTCGCTGTTCTGCTTAACCTAAATAATTATGAATTGTTTGCAATTTGATTTTCATTTCTTTTTCAGCTAGAAGCGGTTTTTTGGCCGTTTAATATTGTTAATTGGACTGGCGCTAGGAAAAATTCTGACGCTCAGACAAATCATGCACAAGAAAATTCAGCAACAAATTTTTTGGTTAGTAAAGAGCGCAGCTGCAAGGCGACAGATGAGCAAACATCATAATAACTGTAACAATTGTTATAAACGGGCTATCAGAGGAGACGTAAAGGGCAACTATGGTCAACTCAATGTGCAGACATAATTGGATGAGTTACTTTTGGAGCGGTTTATAAGCGTAACAACTTCGGAAAATGTAGTACTTACAGTGCCTGTCAGCGATAGCCTTGAGGAAAGTGACATTGAACCAGACGTAAGTAGAGAGCAAACAATTCAGAGGGTCATCAAAGTAGACGGATACAGGAAATTTTGTGTGCGCCTCAAAGTCGACTCAATCTCTTCATCCGTAAAACACCGGTACACAGCAAACATGGCAAAGAAATCGGAAGGAGCAGAGACGAGTGAAAATTTGAAACGTAAGACAGATTAGCATAAGCGGATAATACCCAAACAAAGCATTGGCAACAAAACAGCAACTGCAGCACAATTTGGAAAGCCCAACATAGTATGGAATCGAAAGCATGTGTGAACATCTAAGTGCTGATGCCAAGCAATTCTCAAATGCATAGCAAACAGAGCTACAGCGAGCGTATGGCGCTCAGGCGAGTGCCAAAAATACAAAGCCACATCAATACAAATGTGAATGACTCACGAGTGGATGCTTGAGCTCCAGCTGCTCTATAGCTCGGTTAAGGCTCCTCTAAATTCGCATTTTGAGTGGCAAAGCGCAAAACAATAACAGCAGAAAAACTTGCCACAGATTTAGAGCTACTCTCTACAGTCGCAAGAATATACACTACTCTCTGAGGCTCAATTATAAGTTGTCAAAGATAGATAAAATCTGATAAAATTTAAAGATCAATCAATACATTCAGCTTGCAAACCTATTATTAGTGTGACACGCGTTGAGGTTTGAGGTTTATCTAAATTTGAACGTGTCAACGACTGATTCAAATACTGCCTAGCCATGTCCCATTTAGCTCAAGTTATGTCAGTTTTCCCTCTTCTGTATACTGTAATACAAGTACTTTTAATTTTTTGTGGTTTCCCCAACAAAATAATCAAAAGTGTTCACCAACAACAATGGCAAACACCCACACACAAACACACACACATAAGCGCACACAGCAAAACAAACTGACAAGATTGGAACCGGGACGTGTCGTTCTATCGGATGCAACTTTACATCTGTTTGTTTGTTCCACCGAACGTAGTAGAGCCAGAGCATCCAAAAAATGCATGTCAAGTGAAATTACTTGTTTGCAGTGGCAACAGATTGGCAAATGGAGGTCAGCTGTAGCAATCGATGCCAGGCTCGGCCAAGGGTGCATCTGCTTCGGCCACACCTACCCATATGTATCCATGTTCTGGCCTGAACTTTGATATATGCAGGCGACACTTCTATCTGCACTGATATGCGACTAGGAGCGATAAATTGAGATGAATGCCTGGCACAATGAACGTCGAACAGTAGCTTCGGCCATGCAGTGTGTGGTTCTTATTTTACTTCAGTCATATATTTTGTTTCAACTATAGTGCACTTGCCTTGCACTTGTTTGTCCATTCACTTTGAACTGTTGTCAATGTCCCTGATAAATATTTTTGACACCCTGATCGAATAGTGTGGCTTTAAGAGAATGCGCAGCTGTAGTGTGCGGGGTCTATAAATATTTTATTGTGTATTTTATTGCATGTGCCATAAAAAACGGCAAGTAGGCTTGCGACAGCGAACGCCCATTAAAATGCAACACGCATGCAACGCGTTGCGATTCCGTTGCATAATTTAAGGCGCTCGCGCACGCAGTCAACTGAAACAATCAGCAGCAAGCCGCTGCTGCCAACGTCATTTCCAGCGTTGCTGCTGATGTCGACCATAAAATATTCATTTAAAATGCAACATGCAACACTTTGCATCACGCATTCTGCATACTCACCCCCTATCTATGCAATATCGCGGGTATCACATGCAAAAATGTCCGCCCTGCAAATGTTGCATGCTGATGACAGCCTCAACCGGACGAGTGTACAGCTCCATGGAGCGCTGTTAGCGTTTTGACGCCCAACAAATACTAATCCTTAGTGTGAGAATAAACGTGTGATATTTGACCAGGGTTTGACTTTTTCAATAGTTGGCGATAACAAGCGAAATAAAACAAGGCAAACAAACTCTAACAAACGAGCACTTACCAAACAAGCTCCACCAGCTAACAATTGGATGTGACCGACGGGTTTATGCAAATTCGATGAATTATCAACTGAAAATAGTCCAAATATTTGTTTCATTAGCTTTAAATATTCAACAACATTAATTTCAAATATATGTATTCATATTCCTCCTTAATGAGGTATACCTAATGATTTCTTCTTTAATCCGAGAACCAAATGTCAATTAAAATTAAATACACAATTCATTTATTGACACATTCGTATATACAAGTTGCAATCCAATCCAAGTGCTTGCTTGGTTTGATGCAATTGGAAATAAATTGAATTGTTAACTTAAGCCAAGCCATGGAGATGACAACACAATAACGCAGCAATTTAAACCAAATAGAAATGTCAGCTGTCAAGTCTAATGTAATTATCTATCTCTTCATGCCATTGAGTCTGCATTGTTATTGCTTTCGCAGTTGCATTGGTGCTGTATCTGCCGCATCTGTGAAGCCTCTATATGGCAGCTTTTATGCTGCAACTTTTGATAAGCCAACTGATAGATACTCCGCACAACACCCGCTCCATCCACAGCACACCTACGCATAATGCACAAAAGCTGTTTGGCCCTTCCAAATCGAATATGGGCATCGATGTGAATTAATTGGATACCGTGCAGATGCCATGATAAACAGCCGCACATTAACATTGGCTTTTAAAAGCAATATCTCGTAAGATATCAGATGGCGGCACAACAGCCGCGACAAGACAATGCAATAAGGTCGTATTATTGCAGAAAACTGCAGCCCGAGAGCTGGCCCAGAGCATTTAGATATGCACAATTATCCAATTCACTCAAACGTGGCAACATTGTCGTTGTCGTCATCGCTCATCAGGCCCCTGTATTTTTCTATAAACGCAAATTTATGGCTTAAGTGCGGGTTGCCAACTGCCCGATTGCTGTGCCTCATTATGTTGTGGTAATAGATCGAGAGCCTCCCAAGCCAGATTCAGTCATTGATACACGAACCTCACGATTTGGTCGACGTGATCATGCGCCTTAGATTATGAGACCAGCCGAGATTCAGGCACTGCACGTTTTGTGCAGAAAAGCGAAAATAAAAAGGGAAATTTTACGGTGCTCACGTAATTGAATTGCTGGCAGCTAAATTGGCATTTATTTTAATAAAAGCAAATATGCAATTTCGCTTTTCTAAAAACATAAAAGTACAAACAAAAGCTATCCAAAGCAACCAGGAAGCAGTAAGCCAGCTAGGGAAACTTGTTTAAACAAGGAGCATGTGTCGTAGCTTTGAAAGGTGAGAGGATAGGCAAAGTAAAGTCAACTGAAGTGACACGGTAAGTACGCATTTGATTAAAATGATAATGAGACAGTAATTTTAATAGGATACAATGCATCGAATGCCACAGCCATAAGCACTTTAAATAATTAACTGGCTGTCCACAAGCTCATGAAAAAGAGATATTATTATTCATTAATATGTACTAGAAAGTTGCCTTTCCAGCTTATTCTGTTAATCCCCTTAATAAGTATTGTTTTATTATATATTACAATAATATAATTTAACTATTTTTGTATCCGTCAGTTGAATGGCCACAAGCCAGATGTATATATATATTTATATTTACTTTCATTCAATTTAATCCATTATATACCAGAAAAAAATCAATTCAAGCTGCATAAATAATTTAAATAAAAACGAAGATTGACATTAAATGTTACTGACCCACTGGAAAAGCTAGAATTATACATAATTAAACTAATGTATGCCTAAATTAAAATAATTGAAACGTATTCAGGGATTTTAGCAAATTTCCATTGTTATGGAAATTTAAATTGATAATTGGGTCAACAACAACAATATATTTAATAGGATTTACATTTGCGTAAAATACATTTTCAAATTTAAATTACAAAGCCTGTTTTTTGGTTTAGCCAGACGTTAATGTATGCCATATTTTATTATATTCTACAAAAAATTAGTTCCTCTAACACTCTATTCTGATTTACGCAATGTATTTAATTCCCAATTTTCTAACTACGAATGTGGATGCTATTATTGTATAAATATTGAAACCCATTCGGCCATAATAATAGCAAATATGCATTGCGTGTTTGGGGATCAGTCAAAATAAATTAATACGAAACGGGCCAACTATTGGGCTGGGCTTTATAGGCGGATAGTTGATTATATTCTTCCAAATTTATGTTTATTTTAATTTATTTAATAGCTATATTGGGCAAGAGTATTTGAACTTTTGTTAGTCGTTAACTACTTGGCTTGTCCAATGCCAGTGCCATTTTCAAGCAAATATTAAGGGTGAATGATGTTCCTGTTAACATTGAACTTGAAATTACTGCAGATTAAACGATTTAATTTTTTGTTGCTTGTGGATTGACAACTGCTAACACTTTCATGCTCTGTCAATTGAATGCATCAACACGTGTTCAGTATTGTCAACACATTTAACGCTTTTGCAAATTGTTGCATACGTGATAATTGCCGGTCTGCAATTGTGAATGAGAATTAAACAAAATCCATTAACTCATAATTTTCTGCTATGCTGCACTCGCCATCAGCTCTTGGCAAATGCAAACAACTGAACGTTCAGTTAGTTAAGCCAAAAGGCAAAAATTGTGCGCAATTTAACGGCAGAGCGCGCTTTTCCACACCAACAAAAGCGATGCGCACGTATCCGTGAAATATTGTGAAAATAGCTGCTACATACATTCAACGGCCAACTCATACTCATACTCATACTCATACTCATACTCATACTCGTACTCGTATTCCTACTCGTACTCCTACTCCTACTCGAACTTGCAGTTAAGTGCAGTGCAATTGTGGCAGCAAGAAATCTTCCAAAATGTTGAGGGAGCTTGTTTCGAAAAAATTCACACGACACAACGTTGGCGTTGTTGATTATGGGAACCACTCAAAACGAGTTTGATTGTTGTTGTTTTTGTTGTTGTTGTTGCTGCTGTTGCTGGTATTGTTGTGATTGTCGTAATTTGGCTGTTGCATGCGAGTTGCATTGTGTAGACTATTCGTTTACACATGGTATCTGAAATATATGTACTCTTATACATGTTCCAGAATACACTAGTATCCTGCTTACTGTTGCTCATAAAAATATATAAGACATATTAATCAACTTTCTAAGCTACTAACAAATATCATGTCTATTTACAAAATAATTACTTACAATTAAGGGTATGCGGCAGTCGTACAAAATTCCCTTTTCGTAGACATTTACTGTATAAACGAGTTAATTGAATTTGTTTGTAGTGTGTTTTGCGCTCGCAGTGATTGGTTTCTGCATTTTTATTATCAACTGTAAATTGATAAATTATAAGATCTTATGAATAATTTCATTTGCAGACAAACTCACACGCCGGCCGCTACGCACTTTGTCAGACAATTTCATTAACAACAATTGTCGCTAGTTAACTACTTTCAAATGCGTCGATTTACTGACACAACAAATTGATAAAAAGTTCTGTCGCTCTCTGAAAATGTTTTCGAAATACATTATTACAAATATAAAATGCACATAGCAAGAAACGAATCAAAACTTAGATTGCGTTGCATGTTTCATAAAAAATAAACTTTTTTGGTCTTCAAATTAAGCTTACGCAATGTTGTCTACATTCGAATCGCACATAAAAGATTGAGACGTTGACGATGCCGACCGGAAGTTAGCGGAAATCATTAGACCCAGACTCGAAGCGCTTCTGCTTTTACTACTGGCGACATAAGATGTACGAAGTACAATGGAATAAAATGACAAGAAACTCTAAAAATTGTACAGGGCTGAACGTTATTGAACTTGCTTGGACGAATAAATATCATATTTGGAGAATTGTATTTTTCTAAGTTATTATTATAAATTGGAGACACAACCATCACAACAATTCCAATAACGATCTATATAAAAAATGTATACTTTTCCACAGTGCTTGTCTACTACCGCTTTCCATGGCCTTTGTTCTGCTCAGATATTTTTGCTTGCCCAACACACAAAAGGCGAAGATGCGCCCCAAGAGGCATTATTGTTATTACTGTTTGTTGTTGTTGTTGGTTGTTAGTAGTTGGCAGCTTATGCTTGAAACTACTCAAATATCCGGAATCATTATTATAAAAATGTGCCAAGGAGCGGATGCAGTGGGCCAGGAAGTAATTAAAGCTCTGCACATAATTGGTAAGTTTCAAGCAAAGCACGTTAAACTCCTTGATGGCTTAGTAAACGAGCTGAAAGTTGGCCCATAACCCAGGTCTGAGGCAGGTAATATTAATTAAATTAATTAAGTGAGAACAGTTGGGAATCTTTTTGCGATGGGGTACAAGCAACAAATGCATCCCATATCCTTGGCAGGACCTTAATAAATAGACCCTAATAAAATTAACAGAGGTGAAAGCGTGGTGTATACGTGACGAGGCAATGAGATGCCTAGTTGCCAACTGGCGCCAGTAAAAAATAAAAGCCAGATAAAAATCAAATTAACAAGCGAAGCGAGAGCACACAAAAAATTCGCACAAGTAAATAAACCTGTCCCAGTTTTTAACTAATAAAAAAAAGTGAGACGGTTTCTGATGATGCAGCTACACCTGAGTAAGACTGGGTCAGAGCAGGATGCTAGACGTTTCTGGCTTGTCGTATGGACAGAACCAATTTATCTTTATGTATATGTAAACATTTGTCGCTGGTGCTCCTGCTGCTGCTGATTGCGAGCCAAATGAATTTAGCTGCTGAGAGATGACAGTGGACTAAAGCGAAATATAAAAACGCAATTTCACAATGACCGAAAGGACATTTATAAAGGTGAAATTTAATGACGTTGACCGTTGTGAAAATATAAGGCCGGCAGATAAAAAATCAGGCGAATTAAATGAACAAGCCAGAAGACGAGGCTGCCGAAGCGTGTCCTTAATCTGTTTAAAAGCGCTGCGTTGCCTCAAACGAGATGCATCAAAATTAACGACAACGAATTTAAAATGTAATTGACAGCCCAACTGATGGCAGCTCCGGCGACAGTTATTAAAGCACACATTGCGTATACGCAACGCAGATACGGATATGC